CTCGGCGCCCTCGCGCGGCTCCTGACGTCGCAGGCCGACGATAACGCCGCGGGCGTGCACTATCGCTGCGAGGTGGCAATGTACGGTACCGTCGAGGCGGTCGGGGGCGCGCTCGCATGGCTTTCCGAGGCAGTCCTGCGCGAGGTGAGCGGTGGAGCCGCAGCGAACGACAGAAGCGGCCGAAACCGTCGCGGGACCACCATCTTCTTCCCCACGGCTACGCCAGAGCAGCAGGCGGCAGTTCTGGCGTTTCTCCCACCACTTCACAAGGCGTGGATGGTGCTGAGGAGCCTCAGCGGTTGCAAGAGGAACTTGCCAATGGTGTACGAGGCGCTGTATAAACCGGGCGACGGCAGCGGGTGGCGGGCCGCGGTGGATGCGGTGCTGCTGCTCGGCGTTGAGCTTGAGGGACTTGCCGCTATTGGGGCGAGGGAGGAGGCTCAGCTGCAGCAGGACATGTTGCTGCACGCAATGGAGTCATTCGCCGATCTCTCTGCTACGCGGAAGGATTTGGGTGAGCGAGGACTCGCGGAGGCGGAGGCTGTCGCCGCNGCCAGCTCGAGTGAGGGAGAGAAGAAAGGTGAGGGCGATGCTCCCGATACCACTGCCGCCGACGGTGGTGGGAATGACGGTGTGTCGGCAGTAATTCCCACTGAGGCGGCGCTAAATGTGGTGGAGTTACTGGCGGCAGGCACTGTGAGTAGCATTGCAGTATCGACCATTGTGCGGCTGCATACTTCACTCGGGGAGGTAACAGAGAAGAACAAGAATAATAATACTAGTAGCGGGGCCACGCGGGTCTATGATGGGGCTGAGTTCGATCTCCTTGCCAGGTGTATTGTGGTGCTGGCGAACCTGGCCGGACACGATGTGGCGGTGGCGTCGGCGAACACGCTGACCGCTCTTCACGCGCTGCTGCAGGACACGGCCGACATGCTTGCGGCGATGGAGACAAAGTACCGTGCAGCCCCACCGCAGGAGCTCTTCACCGCAGCTGCGGCGCCGCAGGACCAAGTGGTGCTGCTGCAGCAGTGTGCCCTCGCGGGACAAGTCTACGCCGTGCTCTGGGGTATCCTCCGCACGGCCGAGGGCACACGTGCGGCGCGGGAGCTGCGGGTGTGCGAGACCGTTGCGCGGCTGCAGGAGGTGGTGGAGGCGATGTACACACGCGCCTTCGCGGACCGCGTGGACGCAGGAGCGGTGGGTGGCGAAACCGCACAGGAGCCACAGCAACCGCAGGAGGATGCACCTGGTGCGACAAGGACAGATGCGGAGGAGATGCTGCGGCGGCTGATGCCGCTTGGGCAGAGGGTGCTGGAGTGCCTGCAGCGGGATGCCGCCGCCCCCGTCGCGTCGAAGACGTAGCGCACACCCGACGCAGCTGCGCGCCGCAAGATGTGACGGGCGCCACAGACATTTCCACACGTGACTGTGATGACGTCACTCTCGGGCTTGGGGCGTCTCTTTTCCATGCAAGAGCCGCAGAATGGAAAGGTGGGGCGGGAGAGAGCGAGAGAGGGGAGTGCACATGGACGGCGACGCTGCGCGCATTCATCTTCAGCACTCTTTGTATTTCGAATTACGCTTCCTCCTTTTTTTAGTATTATTATTATTATTATTATTATTATTATTATTTGTTCGTCTTTGATGCTCTTTTGATTTGGTTCGCCTCCCTTTCGGCACCTCTCTTTCTATTTCTCTCTCCCGAGTGCCGCGGCAGAGGGGCATTCCTTACACACACAGACAGACAGACAGAGACATACGGACCGACAGCCTCCCACGCCACCCAGTTGCCGGCGCGGAGGGACGGATTATATTGCATTCCCCCACGGGCGCTGACTGAAACACGCCGCGGAGGCCGTGCGGCTAAAGACATCAGCATCGAAAGCAGTGGTATTGGCGACCGAGCCATACTTGCTTTTCTGTTAAAGCGAAACAAAAAGGGGAGGGGGACTACTAAACCAAAAAAAAAAAGGAGGCGAGGGGGTGTCGTCATGCATCAACAGGTTCTGACCATGGGCTACAACAGCGGGAGTAGCATGGACAAAAACGATGCCAATGTCGCTCTCAAAGCAGAGGCCGGCGACAGCGGCGTTGACGGCTCGGCGCACCCAACGGCGATGCTGCTCTTCTCCATCGGCATGGTTTTCGGCCCCCACATTGGCTATGTGTTCCAGATCCAGGAGATGTACAGCACTAGAAACGTTGAGGGCTACTCGCCCCTAGTATCGGTGATTCTCTTGACAAGCAACAGCATCCGCATCCTTTATTACTTTGGTCACCACTTCGACCTGGCGCTACTGTTCCAGGCGATCTTCGCTGTCTTCGTGCACGCACTGCTGCTGATGCTGGTGATGCACATTGTGCAGGTCGAGCGCAGAACCGCGGAGGAGGTACCCGTCACTCCGCAGGAAGTCGGGCTGGACAACATCATCGATGTTGGCGACACTGGCGGCACTGCTGGGCGTTCGATGGTGGCGTGGCTTGATGAGCAGGCGTGCCGCTTCGAACAGGCGGTGCTGCGCATTCCCCCTGCGACGTTCCTGCGGCGCTACACCATCTGGGCACTGACGGTGATGGTGGTAGTGTTCTTCTACTACGCCAGCATTGGCGCGGTGTGGGCGGAGGCGCCGGAGGTAGTCGGCTACATTGCTCTCGGCATCGAGGCGCTGCTTGTGCTGCCGCAGATCCTGCGCAACCACCGCCGCCACTCCACGGAGGGACTGACGCTAGTGCTGGTGCTCACGTGGTTTATCGGTGACATCATCAAGGTCATATACTTCTTCGCCTACCACCAGCCGCTCCCCTTCATTCTATGCGGCTGCTTCCAGCTGAGCCTTGACCTGGTCGTCATTGCACAGGTAATCTATTACCGCTGCCGCCGCCGCCGCCTGCCAACAGTGGCGCCGACAACACTGACGGGGCCTGTCAGTGGCGAGCATGCGGACGATCAGCAGAACGGGAAGTAGGGACCATGCCATTGGCAAAAGCACATATATATATATATATATGCATATATATGCACGCGCGCCCACAAGAGACTCCGGTTCTTTACCTAGACGCTGCAGACGAAGTGCGGCGAGGCCAGGGAGCAGACAACTTGAGACAGCAGGCAGCTTCAGTCTGAACTGAGGGTTGCATCAAGATGAGAAGCAAAGAAGGCAAAAAAAAAGATGATGCAGGAAGGACATTGCTATATAAGCGTGCGTTATTGTGAATGAAGATGATAAGTTGATGCGTAGCAATAGGCGATCGTGATGCTGTCTCGTAGTGAAGCTGTCACTCGTTCGTTGCCATTAGCTTTATTATTTTGGCGTGGTAGTTGGGTGCGACTGCGATTTCATTCATGCATGAACGGACTTCTTCTCGCCCTTCTTCCCATTGCATTATTACTCACATTTGTTTGCACTGATAAACACATACACACGCCTATATATCGGCTCTGCTCATTCATTCTTCCTCATGTCTCTCTTGTTCTCTTTGTTCTTTTGGGTGCGCACTGCCCTGCTTGCAAAACTCTGTGGGACGCGCCATAGTTGAACCTTTCTTAGACACACACACTTTCTCTCTCACTCTCTATCCCTCGCCCTTGTGTCATTGAGTGTCTGGCAACTAGGACAAGAGAGGGGGGGGGCGGGTGGAAGAAGAACAGAGACCGACGACTCGCCTGGGCTGTGCGTGCCACTGCTGCAATGCAAGCTGGTAGCAATGACGACGCGGTGGCGGCGCTTCGCCGGCTCGAGGACGCTGCAGTCGAGATGCACACTGACTTCCGACGATTGCGACGGGCAATTGCGGTGCAGCAGCGCCATGCATCAGCTCTCCTGGCTCGGGACCCGGAGGCTGCTGCAGTGGGTGTTGCTGTTGGTGCCGTCACCGCACCACTTAGCCACTCGCATTTTCAGCTCGAGACACAACAGAGACGCGACTTGGCGGCGCGGCACCGACGCGTGGCGGCACTGCTGCAGCGGAAGGCGCTGTTGGGGGAGTTGTGGGAGCGGATAGTGGTTCGCGAATGGTACCGTCCAGCTGTAGTTGAGGGTTTCTTTGCCCACACCATGGCGAGCTTGGCGGCGCTTGAGCGTCGCCTTGACCGTGCGGCAGCGGCGCTGCGGCCAGGGCGGCGTGTACGCACTGCGGCTCCAGCAGCATTGACAACTCTCGGCGTAACAGAACAACTGCAGCAGCCATCACAATCACAACAACAACAACAACAGAATGCGGGAAACAGTACGTCAGCTGCTCCTGCTGCTGCTGCAGGAGTGGAGCAACTCTGGGTGAGGCGGAGGCGGCATCTTCGGACAGTCATCAGTCTGTCCATCAAGGTCGTTGGAGAGTATGTTGAGCAACGCGATAATATCAGTATCAGAAACGAAGCCAATGACGACGCAAGTGACGACATGTCCCTTTATTCCGTCTCCTTCACGGTGGAGGATTTGTCGGAGGTGATCCAGTACATTCTCACAAGTGCGGCAGCGCGACAGCAGTGCCTCGGCGCTGCATTCACCGCTGTTGCCCAGACGCCAGTGTTCCTTCAGGCGCTCCAGTCATCACCGCTGCTGCAGCGCCACGCCGATGCGTTGCGGCTGTGCAACTACCGCTCTGTTCGCCCACTGTGGTGCCGTCACGCGCACTACGCTCAGGCTGTACTGTCCTTGTTGCAGGAGAAATCCCGCACGACGAGCGACATGCTTGTGGAGCGGCGCCTGCAGCGGGAGCGTGACGAGGCGCGGTGGCACAGTCTGCGCGCGGCTGTTGTTGCGACGCTGCCGCTGCACCCGCACGACGGTGCCACTGCACGCCAGTCGGCGGATGACAACACTCCACAGACACGCGCCGATGCCATGTTCGATGCAAGCGAATGCCCGTTGTGGCTTGTGGTGAACGCGTTACGGCAGCAGCAGGCTGAGGAAGATAAGGTGGTGGATGCCGCTGGCAGTTGAAGATGGCATCATAAATCAGTGTGCCTCGCTGCTGACAGAGAGTATGTCCTTTTTTTTTTCTTGTTGTCTTTTTGCGCTAATCGCTATACTTTTAAATTATTATTATT